CCCCCCCCCTTCCCCCGGTCTGCTGCTGTTGGCCATGCACGTGGCCATCTCTACTGCCATGTGGCAGCTTGTGGTGGAACTGAAGACCCCCTTGCTTAGGGGGCTGCTCTACAGTGGTGAGGGTCTGCTCACACAGCAGACCCTAGATCTGCAGATCTGCAGAACTCCTGCTGGTAGAGGCTGATCAAGATCTCAGCCCCCTCTCTCCTCCAGCTGGCTTGCTGCAGCGAAGGCCAAGACCCTCCTTGTCTTGGTACACCTTGTGCCCTTGGAGACACCAAGGGCCAGGTATCACTCCTCTCCTCTCCGTACTAACCCACTTCTCTCTCTCTCTCTCTCTCTCCTCTTACTCATACCCGTCTCCCCACCCCACCTTTTCTCCCACCACCCATTCTTTTACTCTCTTTTCTTCATTTATTTTCTTTTCTTTCCTCCTTCTTTTCTCTTTGCTTCCTGATCCCTCTCCACCTTTCCCCAACCCTCCTCTCCCCCAATTACCACCACATCATCCCCCCATGCAATGAACACAGATTATGAATACAGATATCAACACTGCAAGTCCAAAATGTCGGGTCGCTGATCATAGTCTCCAATAATCAATAGTATTAGGAAGAAGAAATGTGAGATAACATACACAGACGAAGAGGGAGGAGGGAGATAAGACAAAGGAGAGGATAATTATGCCCACTCCTTCTCCGGGCTCCTCCACCTCACACAACCAGCAATTTGAACACCAAGTTGAAGTTATCTCAAAGAGTGTCACGTGGCACCTAACCAGTTCTGAATCAGCGATGGAGCAATGCCAATATGAAGACCTCAGGTACGTATTCACAACCTCCACACAGTCCCGATCTCCTCCTGAAGTACCGATAAAACAGACTTGATTGCTTCCTGAATTGAAGATGGAGCAGAATAGCAATGCCGGTCATATAGACCCGACAACATCACACGTGGCAGCGCCACGTCAGCAACAATGCTTGGCAGCTGCCACGTCAGCATGAAGAAAGTAGCCAGCCAGTCAGCTCACCAGCCAGCAGCGCAATGTCGCTATCTCGTCAATGCCAGCAAAATGCCAGTGTCGCGCTGCCAATACGTAGAGCAGCGTCAACGCAGCCAGAATTAATGTCAAGGCCAATGAGTCATTGCTTAAGTAGTGTTCAATCAGGGTCTGGACCCCTATTGCTGTGTACTTCCGCCGTCCAGATCTTGATGTCAAGTATGGTCTGGATCGATCTGAAACTGTATTCTCTTTGACCTCGTAGCATGTCTTGGCACCTGTGCACAACAAGTGAATGTATCCAACCCAGGGCCTGGCGAGATACCTTTGATTTGGCGGTTGACTTTGACTCTTGAATTTCCTAGTCTTAGTACTTGGTCCGCCACGTGCAGATTCTGAATTCTGGGCATGTGCTGGTTACACAGCCCAACGCAGACCAAGTCTCGTCTGCGTGGCCTGGGGCTGAGTTCTGAGCCTTGGGCTTCTTCTGAACAGGGTTACTTCATTCCTGCCGTCCCATTTTCGAGTTTCACTGCAGAATTAATTAAGACTTTAACCCTCGTTCATAAACAACAACGATATCAGGAGCAGTCTCAAGAAGTACCTTCTTGTTAAACCATCGGTCTTCTGATGGGTGTTGAGA